CGACAAAGTAACGCCATGGTGCGTTCTTCACCGGGATGGCCGACCCACAGAGTATCATGACATTCCGCTAGAAGAGTCCTCCGCAGATCTCCTCCTTTTGGAACATAAAGTCGGTTTCCTTTGACTTTCAGAAAACCATCTTCCATGTAGAACTGGCGAGTCTTGCCCCGTCCTACCAAATCAACCAAATACTGAGCAGCAGGATCCTTGGTGAGTAGATCCTGTATCTGGTCCTTGATGGAGGTGGCTACTTCGCTCCCCCTTTAGGGTGGCGAGTTGGCACACCGATGCTAGATCAGCTCTCCGACTATAGTGCATCAGCAAAATGATTGGTCTTTCCCCTGCGGTACTCCAGGTTGAAGCGGAATTCAGCTAGGAGTTCCTGCCACCTGGTTTGTCGACCGTTCAGCTTCAGCAGGGTCATGAAATGGCTGACAGCTGTGTTGTCTGTCTTGACCCCGAACGGGTTCCCAGCAGATAGTGCCTTCAAAGGCGCAAGCAGTGGACGACATCCAATAATTCTTTCTCATGGGCGGCATAGCGCCGCTCTGCATCCTTCAGCTTCCGACTCTCGTACGCTACAAGGTGCCCTTCTTGTAGCAAGACTCCGCCGAGGGCATAGTCAGATACATCCGTTTGTACCTCGAACGACTTGGCCAAATCAAGGATGGCCAAGACGGGGCTACTAGACATAGCCGCTTTTAATGCGTTAAAGGCCTCCGCTCTCCTTGGTCCCCAATCCCAGGGTGTGACCTTCTTGAGGAGTTCTGTCAATGGTACTGCGATAAGGGAGTAGTTCTTCACAAACCGCCGGTAGAAGTTGCATAGGCCAAGGAACGCCCTCAAGGCGTGGACATCCTTAGGCGGCGGCCAATCTGTGATGGCCTGAATCTTCTGTTGGTCCATCTTGATGCGTCCTTCCTCGATGACATGTCCGAGGAAGTCAATTTGCTTCTGAGCAAAGGAGCATTTGGATAGCTTTGCATATAGTTCATGCTCCCGCAAACGAGCTAGGACCTTCCGCAAATGCACTAAGTGTTCTTCCAATGTTTGGCTATATACCCACAATGTCATCCAAGTAGACCACCACGAATTCGTCAATGTACTCTTGGAAGACTTGGTTCATCAGAGTGCAAAATGTAGCCGGGGCATTAGTCAAGCCGAACGGCATGACCAGGAAGTTGTACGACCCATATCTTGTTACACATGTCGTCTTGTGTTCATCACGCTCTGCGATCCGAACTTGCCAGTAACCTCTCTTGAGGTCTATCTTGGTGAACACCGTCGCACCACCTAGTCTATCGAACAAGTCTGCCATTAAGGAATAGGGTACTTGTTCTTCACGGTGATTTTGTTTAGAGCTCGATAATCCACAGAGAGTCGCAGGCTGCCATCATGTTTCTTTTGGAATAGAACAGGGGACCCGTATAGGGACTTGGAGGGTACAATGATCCCTGTATCTAGCATTTCCGTTAATTGTCTCCGAAGCTCAGTGAGTTCGGGTTGTGACATTCTGTAAGGCGCCCGGGCAGGTGGCTTCCCGCCCGGCACCAACTCAATTTCATGGTCCACAGTGCGCCTAGGCGGGAGCCGCTTTGGCATGTTTTGTGGCATGACATCTTCAAACTCCAGTAGTAGCTCCTTCACGGGTTCAGGAATGGGACCCGAGGAGCGTTCTATATCTTCAATGCAGAGGGTTGCCAGGAACGTAGGTTCATTCCTTTTGACCCCCTTCTTCAATTGCAAGGCCGAGATGTTCTCATCGGCCATCTTCATGGGCATGCACGGGATAATGCAGGGCTTGGCCTTGTTGGTTCCCATCATCAATAGCATGTCTGCAAAATGGTACAAGCATGGTGTTGGTTTGCCTTAAGAATTCCAACCCAACTATCAACTCGAAGTCATCTATGATCACCACTCGCAGGTTGAATTTTCCTTCGTAAGGGCCAAACTTCACCGGTACCTCTTTGGCTATTCCACCCACTGGCTGGGGAGGTGAGTTGATAGCCTTGACACTATCTCTACCTTTCCCTACAACTAGACCCAGGCGCTCCACCTAAGTCGAGGCTAAGTAGTTGTGGGTAGCACCCATGTCTATCATAGCCCAAATGGGCTTGCCATTCACCTTCATCTCAACGAACATTAAAGTCCTCTTTTGTTTAAGAGGAGTCTCCTCATTCGCCTTCTTTTTCCCTTTCTTGGTGACTGGACATGGGTCCTTCTTCTTACGGATACCAGCACTGGTCTCCGCTGATGCCTCAGAAATGGAACCAACAATTGCATTGAAGACACCTACTGGTTCAGTCTGGTCCGCATCGTCTGAGTCGTCATCTGTCCTAACATCAATAGCCTGATGGGCGTTCATCTGTGCATGTGGACACTCATTGTTCCAATGTGGTCCGCCGCAATGACGGCACCCTGAAGGAGGCTTTCTCCCCCGGTCATTGTTGTTTGATGCAGCACTATTGCTGCCTGAGGAAGGAACCTTAGATTTGGTTGAGCTCTGATCTCCCCCGCTTCTGCTAGGACCACCATTGCTAGGTTGGCCCCCTTTGAATCCCGCTCGGGCAGGCGGCTGAGGCCTGTCCTTCCGAGCTTCTATTTGATAGTCCCCAAGGCATTCAGTTGCTTGGATCACCTTGGGAAGGGTATCTACCCTTTGTCTTTGGAGCTCCACACGGGCATAAGGTTTCAACCCTTCCAGGAAGGTGAAGAGCTTGTTTTTGTCCCCCATGTTGCGTATGCTTAGCATGAGCGCGGAGAATTCTCGCACGTAGTCTCGCACTGATTTGGTCTGGCGGAGCTCCCGTAGCTTTCTCCTTGCCTTCAGTTCTGCCTATGTCTCGAGAGCATCTTCACCGGCCCTGATGGCTTTGTACTTCACCCGCCACCAAAGTTTAGCATCACCCTGAAGATACATGGCAGCAGTTGCTACCTTCTTAGCTTCCTCCAGGCCCGTAATAGCATCGAAATACTGTTCGACGTCAAAGATGAAGTTCTCCACTTCCTTGGCATTCCTAGCTCCACTGTGTGGCTTTGGCTCAGGAATTTTCAGTTTCTGTGTCGCGGAAGCGGGGTTCACAGCGCCCTCGATTTGGTTTCCACCTCCTCGAAGTAGGCCCTGTAAAGCAGCGGTGACAACATTGAGCTGGTCTGTCAATTTGTCGATAGTTTGTTGCATGGCAGTCACCCTGTCTGCCTTTTGTGCCCTGTAGGCTAAATCCTCGGTGCGCTCCTGTTGAGCCCCTCGAATTTCCCAAAAATTTCGGCTGCCTCTGTGGTTGCCGTCTGCCGGTCTCCCTCGGAGTCGCGACTGATGTTTTCTATGTCAACTTCGGCCTGGAGCACCCTGCGGTCCAGGTCGTCCAACCTTTGCACTAGGTTGGTTCTTAGTTCAGGCACCGTATCCATGATAGGCCGTAATACCTCAACCGCCCCTTCGAGGGCCGCAATGCGGTCCCCATGATTCACCATGGTTAGAAATGGTGGTAATATCAATACGTTCCCTCGTCCAATGTCGAGCATAGGCTCTGATACCAACTGTTACGTGGCGCCTTCCTGAGATTCCTTGGAAGGGCGACGTAAGGCTAAGCAACTGATGTCAGTGCAGTCGGTGTTCGCCAACTGAGGTCCCCTTCGTACGCTAGACGAGATTGTCAGTGCCGTACGGGAAAACCAATGTCAAGAGCAATTGAGAGAACAGAAATGAGAATTGAGAATGAAAGAAAGCTTGATTGCATTAATGAAAGCTATTACAGAAAAGCAATGCGGTGTCGAGGGGGAGAGACACCAGTACAGAGAATTGCTTGCTTGCTAGAAAGTTTTGATTGCTTGATCCCCCCTAATAATGCTTAAAAAAAAATAATTCAAAACTACAAGACTAGACTTGAATACGCTAGAGAAACATAATGGAAGTACTTGAAATAAAACTACTCTATATTTACAATGAAAATGACTTAGTTTTCTATAAGGCAACAACATGTCCGTTGTCAGCAGCATTGTCTTTGGCATCACGATCTGCACGCACGACGTTGTTTGAATCTGCCTGCGGCTTGGCGCTGGCGAGGGATATCGGTGGGCCGACAGAGGCACCTGTGCGCTTGTCACTTGGCGCGGCCAAGACCAAGGGGCTGTCCGTGGCGCTAGGCATTGGGAGGCTTGCTAGGACGCCACGGGGCGCGCCCAAGGGGTCATGGGGCATGGCTGGAAAGCCACCCATGACAGATCTTGTGAAGGGTCTTGAGACTTGTAAACCTTGGCTGCCATCATGCACACCATCCAATTTTGGGTCCAAGATATGTGGCAAATTTCTACTAAATATAAGTTACCTATAAAAGTTTCAAGTAATCAAAAGTAAACAATATCGTTTCTCACATAAATATACTTTAGAAAGGAAAAAGAAAAAAGATGTAGTATCGTAGTGCTTGGGCTGCACCTAGTTTCTAACCTTTCTACCAGCTGAACATAAATGGTTCTGGTTGTACATGTAGTTAGCCAGCCATTCCTTTGGGCATCTGTACTGTGAATATGATATCTGATCCTTCTTCAATTTTAAGCTGCACTTGTAGATCAACCCCTCCCACCTCCCCTCCCCATCCCAAAACTGAAGCAAAAATTAGTTGCGAGGAAAAGATGAATTTCACAGAATATCTGTTCTCTCCCTATGTTGTTCGGACTCTCCAAAAATATCGATGGGTGCGTGTCGGATCCTCCAAAAGTAATGTATTTTTGGAGGATCCGACACGGGTACAACAGCTGTTTTGGAGAGTCTGAGCAACATAGTTCTCTCCAACTGAACCTGTACTTTTCTGGTTAGTCTGCATAAATCAAAATATTGTTTATGCTTAACATTTGTTGGCCAATGTCCTGTGTGACATCAGCTTTAGCGCTGTGTATTAAATGCAACATCAAGAAAGTTGGGGTTATAGGTTGCTTTAATTACATGAAATGCCCTATATCACTTGCAGTCATTCATTACCATTTATTGAATCTTCATGCAGTGCAGGCGCCACACATGCTTATCACAGGCCTTGAAGATTACAAGGCAAGAGGAACTCAAGCTTCTCCATACTTCACAGTTTCTTACTACACCGAATTTGCTGAAAGCAAGGATCTGGTTCTTGTTCGAGGGGACATTGTCTTTACTAGCAAGCTCGCCGACTTGGAGGCAAAATGGCTTTTGGACACTGCACAATCTTTTTACTTGAATGATGTCAGGTACAAACTAGTGGAGCGTTTCAATAGAGAAACGAGGGAATTCGAGTTCAAAGATGTTTTACAAACTTTGGAGATGCCTATATTGTGATTGAAACATCTGAAATCGATCTTCTCGCATAAGAGAAATCCAAATATATGGAGTTTGGTCAAAATGGATCATTCAGAAATCAGCATCAAGAGAATTGTTGTTCTCCTGCCATTCTGACAGGCAATTGTGTCTGCCAAGCATAATGAATGTATTGCATTAGCAAACAATCTTTTCTAGCTTTGATTATTCATTGAGGCAAAAGTCAAGTATCTTCATGGTGTTGTTTTTCTTTCTTTCTTTTCAATAATAGCAATTACTCTTTTAGGGAAAAAAAGAAGAGAAAAGGGCTGATGGTAGCTGTGTTGTATTTCTCAAAGAAAGCTTCCTAATTTCATAGATCTGCAATAATGTGATTTTAGGTCTGTCTTTCAACTTCTTATAACACCTTGAATTACCATGGTTTCTCACCTGTAAACTTGTGCATTTGGAGATATACATAAACAATGCCAAACAGTCTCAGGTGAAGTTTTCTCTTCTTCTTTTTCCCCCCTATGTGTGATGTTGTACTTTCTGTTTGATGCGATTATTTCTAATCTTATATGATTACACGTCTATTTCTAATGTAGGAGATGCATGTTTTGTGATGAAATTACTTAAATTGATTATATCATAAGAGCAATCGGAAGAGACGGAATTTTGATGAGGAAGGATCATACAGCAATCAGCAACAATGGAATTGGCAGTTCTTTTCGTCATTCCAAGGGAAAACCTGTGTTTATCTAGTAGAATATTTGAACGGGATGTTATTAACAATCTTTTCTTGTTCTGATTCCCTTTTTTTTTTTTAAAACAAAAATCCGTGTTACATTCTAATAAGGTTGATGGTAGCTTGAAGATTGTGTCTAGAGAGATTTTGTTGAGCTACTATAAAGAGAGCTGTGATGTAATGGTAAAAGTTGTTGTTTCCGTAAAACGGTATAGTTAAATCTATACGTGATTTATAGACAAGTGAATTAGTCTGATCCTAAAATAATAGATGAATTAGACAAAAATGTAATATTTAGCCTTGAGATGGAGATAAAGTAGCAGATATAGTAATTTCGGGAGCAGGGCTTCCAGGGACAACAACAATATCAGGTAAAAATTGCACGGGGCGCCCTATTTGGGTGCCCCTTTTTAACCTGTAGCCTTTCTGTTTGCACCCGTACCCGTTTTTTTGTTAAAAGCCATTTGAAAAGACCATTTTGCCCTTCCATATTAAAAAGACTACTTTCTCTCCAAGTATTCGCTAGTCCTCTACTTTCTTTGTCTCTCTCTCCCGTTATTCGCATTTTTTGAAGTTCTTCTCTGAAATCAAACGGTTTTTGTCGTTGTTTTTGATTTTTCAACTGCTAGTCGTCGGTGTTCCCACATTACGATTTAATCACAGGTACATTGAATTAACTTTCTGGGTTTTATTTTACGATTTAATTTCTGATTTTGGTTTTGATAGTCATGTATTTATGATAAAATATTTTCTTAGGGTTTAGTTTGATAAGTGCATTAGTTTTACTTTTACGATTGTGTTTTTTTTTAGGTTTTTTGAACGAGTGTTTATGTTGTTAATGAAAATTCTATAATTTCTTCTGTGATTAGACGTTCAAATTTTTAAAATTTTTGAGAGTTAAACAGATGATACTATAGTTTAATGATATCTTAGATATGAGCTGAAGTTTTTTTTTCATGTTTTGGCATTATTTTTGGATTTGAATTTGTGTTTTGTTTTTTGTAAAAATTACAGCGTGTTTTGTGCTTGTAATTGGTGAAGTTCAGCTTTAGGAGCTGAAGTTTTTGTGCTTGTAACTGGTGAAGTTCTGCTTTAGGAGCTGAAATTTTTGTGTTTGTAGTTGGTGAAGTCCAGCTTTAGGAGCTGAAGTTTTTGTGTTTGTTACTGGTGAAGTCCATCTCTAGAGCTGAAGTTTTTGTTTTATACCCGTCGAACTTCAGCTCTATAGCTGAAGTTTTTGTTTTATACCTGTCGAACTTCAGCTCTATAGTTTTTATTTTATACCTGTAGAACTTCAGCTCTATAGCTGAAGTTTTTGTTTTATACCTGTCGAACTTCGGCTCTATAGCTGAAGTTTTTATTTTATACCTGTCGAACTTCAACCTTCCTAGGTATTGAAGTTTTAACTGATCTTTTTGATAATGTCTTGATGTTATTTTTTGTATCTTTTACTTTTTTTGAACAAATGGCTCCTAAAGCACCTAAAGATCCTAATGCACCTAAAAAAGGCAAAGCCCCTAAAGCACCTAGACTACCTGTAATACCCCAAGGTCCTTATATCCTCTCTGCTCCACCTACAAAACCAGGACAAAGATATTATGAGTTTGGAGATTGGCTTAACTCTAAGTGTTACTGGAAGGGGAACCATGATTTGAAGAAATTAATTGCAACTTTCTTGACTCCTACTCAACAGGATAAGCTTAATAATGGTACATTTAGATACATTATGGCTATGGAGAATTTTAAATGCATCATGAAGTTGGTGCATTGTCTGTGTCTTTCTCGAATATTCACGAATGATCGAGACTCCATTAGTTTCAAGATTTTTGGGCATGATGCTTCCTTCACCCTTAAAGACTTTCACATTATGTGTGGTTTGCGGATCACAACACACAATGTTGAAAGACCAATTAATCGAGAGAGCAATCTTCTGAAGCGGTATTTTGGTAAGTCCAAGGGTGTGACTTTGAAGGATATTCGAAGTTTTATGACTCGCAATGAAATTCCAAAGAATGTTGTGAATCATGTACACGTATGCGAGAGTGATGATGATGCTGTTAAGCTTATGGAAATTATTGTTGTAGAGTCTATTCTGTTTGGGAAAAATACTGAGTTATGTGTGGCGGAGGAGTATGCATCTATTGTTGAAGATGATAAGGTTTGCGCTGAATATCCTTGGGGTAATGTGGCTTATGAGAAGCTCATTTATGCCCTGAAACATGCATTGTACAAGCAGAACAAATTCCATACAACTGAGTATAAACTTGGTGGATTTCCATATCCGTTATGTGCTTGGTTCTATGAGCGCTTCCCAGATGTTCGGGAGAAGTATATAAGAGAGGATGAGAATCTTGATAACTCTCAGGTCCCCAGGATGTTACGTTATGTATGCGTGGAGAGCCTAAATTTCCCGAATATTATTATATGTTCAAAACTCATGAAGTAAGTTACTTTTATTTTTTTTGTCTTTGTGTTAATATGCTGATGTATTAGTTTTTTTCTCCTCATAATATACTTTTTTATATTAAACAGAGATATCGCGACTTTAGGGTAATGGATATAATTCCTACAGAAGAGGAATTGAATTCAATGCCTTTAATTGGAAAATTATCGTGCAGCCGGATTCGTTCAAATGTAGTTAATGCAGTTCCTTCAACTGGTGAATCACCACGTACTCTGAATCGAATCGAACTCCTGTCATTGGTAAATCACCACCTACTCCGAGTCGATCAAAAGAACCGAATCAAACTCATGTCATTGGTGAATCACCATGTAGTCGGAATCAACCAAAAGAACCGAATCCAACTCCTTTTATTGGCAAAGCATCTCGTACCAAGAGTCGTTCTACCTCATCTACATCTGACTTTGATGACAATAAATTACTTGAGACAATATGCTCTGTAAGTTTTGATCTGAAGTTTTTTGGGTTTGTTTTTGTAAAAGTACAACCTGTTTTTTGAGGTGAAGTTTTCTTCTATATCTGAATTTTGTTGTGTATCTATTCTAGAGATTAACGACGGAGGTTCAAAGGCATGCAGAAAAAGAAAGAAGCACGATCGTGAACGGAGTTTTTGATAAGTTTAAAAAGGAGGAGCGAACTGCTATTGTGGATACGGTTTTTGTAAAAGTGAAGGTAAGCTAATTTATAGAGAAGTCTTTTTATTTGTGCTGATGTTATTCAGATTAATCATTGTTAGTAATTTTTTTCTAAGAATATTTCGATGAGAAGTTTGAAGTGTTGTTTACGATTGTCAACAAATCAAATGGAATGGGCGATGGCAATTTTGATTTGAGTAAGCATCGAGAATATGACAGGATGAACGACTGTTACGAACATCCATCGGCTTTTGAAGGCGATCAACATGTTCAAGAAGAATTTGAGGAGCGACGTTCCACTGCTGATAGATTGAGCAGAGATGTAAATGATGAAGCACATTTATCAACTGAGAATATTGGAAGCAAGCAAGGTGCAGATAATCAAGTTGTTGAGACTGAAGAACATACTGCTCATGATGCATTGTGTAAAGTCGCAGATGATAATGCTACACATAATGAAGCGGCTGTTGAAGGCGTTGAACATGTTCAACAACATGGTGGAGAGGAACAATCCAGTGTTTGTAGACAGAGTAAAGGTGGAAAGAAAGGTGCAGATGATCAAGTTGTTGGCACTGAAAAACATGCACCGAGTTGTGCTTTGGAAAGTGATATTGGAAAAGGCAATGGAGATCAAGCACCTGTTCATGAATGTTTTGGGAAAGACGATTGATATACAGGAGCATTAGCTATTTGCAAAGAACTTGTAGGTGGTGATACACATGAAATTGTTACTACAGGTACAAAGTGTGAAGTTTATAATATTTCAATTATACCTTAGATAGGAGCTGGAGTTTTGTTTCATGTGTTTGTGTTTTTTGTAAAAACTACAGCATATTTTTTGGTGAATGTTTTGTAAAAACATCAGCTATAGAGCTGGATTTTTTTTTTATAACTATCAAACTTCAGCTCCAGAGCTGATTTTTTTTTATAACTGTCGAACTTCAGCTCTACAGCTGAAGTTTTTTTTATAACTGTCGAACTTCAGCTCTAGAGTTGAAGTTGTTTTTTGTAACTGTCGAAGTTTTTGTTTGTGACTCGCTAACTTCAGCCTTCTTAGAGTTGAAGTTTTAACTATTTTTTTATAATATCCTGTAGTGAAATTTTCACTATAGGTATAAATTATTTCTATGTTTTATATATAGAAAAACTAGTTGATCTATTCCCCCTCTTTTATGAATATGCAGTGGAAGTTGAAACTAGTTGTAGTTCAACTCAAAAACTCTCTAATGATGCTCAATTGAATGAAGGTAGAGTTGAGAAAAACCTTCCAGAAAATACTGCAATGGTCATCGCTGTTGACATGTGATTTTTGACCCTCCCCGAAATTTTACCCATTTTTAGCGTTTAAATATTTAGTTTAGGTCTAATATAGCTATTTCAACTATTTTTGACTTCTTTACTTTATTTTATTACCAGAAATGAAAATTACAAAAAATATTTTTTGTTTATGTATTTGTCATAAATTTGAAAAAAAATGCAAAAACTAGTACCCTATTTTTATCTTTATATAATTTCAAAAATACAAAAAATAGTTTCATGTTTAGTTTAATTAATTAGGATTAGTTTTGACATGATCTAGTATTTTCTATCTTATTTTAATAGGCATTGTGTAGTCTAGGGACCCTTCTAGACTCTTCTTTAGGACAAAAAATAAATAAAAAGACCCTAAGGACTTAACACAAAAGGACCTAGGGACTAATTGGCAAAATACACAAAATATAACCCTAATCCCTACCCCTATATAATAGTACCTACACTCTAAAATATACAAGGAGGAGAACAAAAAATAACGCCCATACTCTGAAAAGCTGGCCGAATTTTAGAAAAACAAAGGACAAAAATAAGGCCTGGGAGACGAAGGAGCACCGTTCTTCAACCAAGCCACAGACCCCCATGAACAAAAGCTTCTTCATCTTCCTCACCTAGAAGCACACAGCAGCAACCATAGGACTCCCCATCAGCTGTGAATACACGAAACATAGGACCCTAGAGAGCTAACACCAAAAACAGGAAGAGCATTAGCCTCCACCATTTTGAACGGACTTTGACATTCTCCAGCACAAAATCAACGACTCCACCAGCGAGATCACCCATCACCGCTGCTTCTTCTTCTCCAATCGAAATTCTGGCTCTGTTCGAAGTTCCGTTCTCGTTGGCATCTCTAGTCGCTGCAATTTTTAGGCCAAATTCTGGTTCTGTTTCTTTCCGGATCCTTGTTGCTGAGTCTGTCAAACTCTATTAGTCTATTTTGATATGAAAGGTTCGTTCCATCTCACTTTTTGTCAACTGCTATCATATTTGGTGTTGGAATGATATATTTAGCCAAATTCCTTGTTTGTGATATGCTGTTCACAATTAAAATTGCTCGTAGTTGGTTGGAGCTAACTCACTGCTTGACGTAATTAGGATGAAATGCTAGTTTGTTTACATTCTTATTTTAATTTTATGTTGGCCTGGTTTGGAAATCGGAAATGGAAGATACGGGAAGCTAATTTGAACAAAATGATCCAAATGTTAGCCGAAAGGGTGGTTCGTTGATTTGTTTATCTTGATTTGGTTTGTGATTTTGTACATTAATATAAAGGAAATATTTGGGTCATAAGGTTTGTAGTAGGAATCAATTTATTCTGGACCGTTTGAGAAGTCAAGTAATTATTTAGGCTACGCGGTATTTGACCCAGTGGTTAAAGAAGGTCCAGAATGCCTTCCTTTAAAAATGAATTCGGCATTAAGAGCTTGGACGTGAATTGATCAAAATGATTGCATTTCGAGTTTTCTTTGTTTGATCTAGTATTATTGACCTCTTCCCTGATTAATTGAACCATTTGAAAAACCTACAGGATATATATTTGACTAAGAGCCAATTTCATAGACATTTGGTCGAATTTTACTTCTTTGAATATTGGTCAAGCGCATGGCCGTCATTTAATTAGTATTTTATCCTTAGAAATCGAGGCGTGCCATTTAGCGAATCTTCATGGCCCTCGCAAAGTTGCAAACGCATAGTTGCTTTAGGCGCGTTATTTTAATAATTTACCTTCCTAAACTCGGGTGCACATTTATGTGACCCAAATCCAAATCCCAACGAAGTCGAAATGTGTCAAAAACCGCGGGTGCATTTATGTGACGTGGTTCGAGACGCGTTTTCACGACGTCGCAATTCTCCTTAAAAAATAATAAAGCGGTTTTAAATTTAAAAGGCACATACGTTAAAACATGTATTAAAATCATATTTTGGCCAAATATAATAATTTAAGCGACCGTGCTAGAACCACGGGATCCGGGGGTGCCTAACACCTTCCCTCAGGTCAACAGAATTCCTTATTCAGAATTTCTGGTTCGCAGACTCCAACTGGGAAGTCGAAATTTTTCTCGATTTGCGATTCAAATTAAATCGGTGACTTGGAACACCAAAAGCCAATGCTATCCCAAGTGGCGAGTCTAAAAATAAATAAATAATCCCATTTCGAATAATGTCACTTTAAATGGAAAAACTCCATTATACATTTATCCTTTGGGGTAGGTGTGTAAAAAAGGAGGTGTGACAAATAGCTACACTGAAATTAAGGCAATTAAGACATCACAGAAGAAAACACGTAATAAGAATGTCAAGGAAATGATGCAAACAAAAACAAGTGATGTAAATGAAAGGTATCAACAAGAATTACTACCAAGGTACCGCCTTGTAGTCTCATTTCACAAATCAAATCACAGTCTTTCTTTATACCACCGGGGGAGCCTTGCTTTTAGTTTTGAAAATTATTTTTTCGAAATAGCTACCCAAGTTTTATCCCACCTTATCACACTGCGTGGCTTCAAGTATTTCCCCTAGCAACATGTGTATCTAGCCACCTTATCTTACCACATGCGTATCAACCCTAATCCTTATACCACCGCATGCGTATCATTATCACAACATATCACAAATCGCACCTCAAGTGTCCAAAACTACAACTTGCCAAAGAAGTCAATAACAATAATGTTTTTACAATAAATAGCACGTGGCTCAACCACAATATGTACATGAGTCTCAACAATAGCCACTGAAGTGAATATCTCAACAAGAATGGTATTTCAATAATATACAACTTTGCCTCAATGTGAATCACGGCCTTTATAACTTCAACACCATAATTCAACAATAAGATATTCCAGAAATAACAACTTCAAGTAAGGTAACTCAACAATTAAATAATTAACAAAGAAATGAAGGAACAATAACTTCAACTAAGCATGTAAAGGCAAATAACAAGATATGAGAAAAGTATTTATAGTGTCAATTAAATCATGTAAGGATAGATTAACGATGATGAAGATAACATGTTATGACAATTTAATTAAAGTCATGAAAAGAATCTACATAACTTTAACCGGTCAGTTACCACAGTTAGCCCGTATACCCACTCGTCATCTAGCGTACACAACCTTCACGTGCCATAATTAATACAAAACAACACCAATCCTAAGGGGTAATTCCCCCACACAAAGTTAGGCAAGACACTAACCTCAAAATACGCTAACTCAATCCACTAGTAAGCCTTTTACCGCGATTATCCAACTCTGAGCGGCGAATCTAGACAAATNCTTCCTAAATGCGGGTGCACATTTATGTGACCCAAATCCAAGTCTCAACAAAGTCGAGATGTGTTAACAATCACGGGTGCACTGGTGCGACGTGGTTCGAGGCGCATTTCTACGACGTTGTAATTCTTATTAAAAATAGAAATAAAATCGGTTTACTAATAAAAGCACATGGGCTAGAACATGTTTCGAAATCAGATAAAATCAAATACAACAGTTGAGCGACCGTGCTAGAACCACGGAACCCGGGAATGCCTAACACCTTCTCCCGGGTTAACAGAATTCCTTACTCGGATTTCTGGTTCGCGGACTGTTAACAGAGTCATAATTTCCTCGGGTCGGGATTCAACCGGTGACTTGGGACACCATTAATCTCCCAAGTGGCGACTCTGAAATCTTAATAATAAATCCCGTTCCGATTGTCACTTCAAGTTGGAAATAACTCCCTTTATCATACCCTTCTCCGCGGGTGTAGTGAAAAAAGGAGGTGTGACAGCTCTGGCGACTCTGCTGGGGAACGAACCCAGAATCTCTGGTTCAGGGTTCAGAATTCGAGCTTAGATATATTGTTGTATTTGGCTTTATCTGATTTTCCTACATGTTTCATGCTTAATGTGCTAAATGTTTACCGCTTTGATATTATCTGAATTGTATATAAACTGTGCCGAAACCCTTCTCTTCTCACCTCCGGGGATGTGCTTACTGGTTGAGACTCCCTATTCTGTTAGTGTCAATACCCTGAAATAGGAAAGAGGCCGGACAAGTTACTAAGCCGGATGGCCTTTTGGTTCCCGGTACGTAGCCCCCTCCTCGACTCGAGTTGTCCGCTCGGGTACACAGTCTAGAACACATACCCAGGTTTTGAACCTAGAAGAACTTGACTTCATGCCGGATCCCTAGTAGGAACGCTTATCTGCATCACGTGCATTTTGACTTAAGGGACTCAACACAGGGGTTGGGTCCGTCTAGGACAGGTGTACCCTGGAATAATGGACCATCCTGATGCATCCTACTTGTGCATTTATCTGTTTTGGACTCACATGCTGACCGACTTTGAATGTTTGGAAAAAACAAAAGAGAGAGAAAAGAGAAAATAGCAGTGTGGAGAGTTAATTACCTATACTAAAAAAAAAAAAAAAAACCAATGGCCAAGTTGTGCCGAAATGCTGCCGGATTTTTTTTAGAAATTGAAAGAAAAGAAAAAAAAAGGTTTTCAAATTAGTTTGTTTATTTGCCATGGAAAAAGAAAATATAAAAAGAGTCTTGAATTTGACAACAAAAACCAAAAAAAAGAGTTTTATTTTCAAATTAGGAGTGTCTTTAGAAATAGTTCGATTTATTTGCCCGAACTACGCAGGTTTGATTCTCACCGGATGTGAGATACGTAGGCAACCCTCATCGGGTCCAACCACACCTTTTGCAAAAATAGCCAAAAAATGTCAATTTTATTTTTGTCATAAATAAATCAGGGGATGCCGTTTTGTCAAAATAGCCGAATGTCCCCAAACGGGCGCCGGAAGGCTGTTTGTGCAAAAACGGCCATCTTGAGTCATTTCCCAACGGTCAACGGGTACAGCCTTAAAGTCTTCTCTCCGAAGTGCTGGAAGGCCGTAACTGCAAAACCGGTTATTTGTTTAACTTAGAAATTTGAACAGAGATTGCGCTATTTTTCTCTTTTAGGTCAAAATAAGTGATTAAAATCACCTTAATAAATGTGCAGGATGA